CTTGAAAAGCTAATTCTAGACCCGCCTGGAACTACATGTTGTAATGCAGATTACGGAGGCAATCCTCAAATCTTAAAGAGCTACTGTGCTGGGCTTTGCAATGTCAAACAACTGTTTAAAGACAAACCCTTCTTTTAAGGTCCAGCGGGTCTTTAAGGACTGGGAAAGAGTAGACAGTGTGGGATACAACGTTGAGCAACACCGGTGTCCTGTACAACGGTGAAATGAAGGTTTTTGAAGTCCCTTGAATCTCAGGCCAGGTCACTTCAGACCCTCACCTGGTTCCCACGCACATCTCAGAAAAAGAACACCAAGATTCTTCGCGTACCCCCACCCAGTGGCTAGAACCGCTTATAAATCCAAGCAGCTTCTAGCCGACTGGCGGAAGATGTTCTTTTGCCCCGCCTCTATTCTTCCTAACCAATCAGAAACGTCCTTCCAAAGCCTCCGTCCTGTGGCGCAGACTCCGAGGACGCGTACTTCACTTCCGGATGGCTGCTTGGGAGGCTGCGCGCGTTGCCATAGCGACCAATTTTTACGTTAACTGGCTTGCTGCTTTTGTCCCCGTAACTGGGCGACTGCGGGGCCACTCTTTCACCCGCTCATTCTAGGTTCCTGGGGGCCGAAAGGCCGCAGCAGTTTCCGGGGGGCTGGCCTAGGGTTCCCGCCGCGCCCCGCGTGGGCGTGATGGCTACGGAGGAAGAGGACGAGGTGGAGTGGGTGGTGGAGAGCATCGCGGGGTTTCTTCGTGGCCCGGACTGGTCCATCCCCATCTTGGACTTTGTGGAGCAGAAATGTGAAGGTAAGAAGCAGAGCCGGAGCCGGCAAGCCTTTCTCACACACGCAGTCCACGGGGAGGTGGTTAACACAAGCCAGGTCGTGGTTGACACAGCCAGGTCTCATCTCCCGGGGTGCGGGGTTTAGAACTGGTTTAGAGGTGGTTTGCTGTCACTCCAACGGCGTTGAACTGTAACTGAGATTCCTCTCCCTTTGGGCCCAAGGACACGTCGAAAAAAATGTTAGACTTTTATCCTGTGTTGGGTATCTTACCCCATCCCTACACGCTTGTACCCTGAGTATGGGTACTGTTTGGCTTCTTCAACAGCTTCCCCAGTGATTTGGCAGGAGAGGCATCAATTTGCTTCTGAGTTTCTCTGATCCCAACAGTTGACCGCAGAAGCAGGCGCGTGATTACTGCGTGATTACTCCTGCAGGCCCACAATAGGCTAGTGTTTCTCTCTCTCTCTCTCTCTCTTTTGTTAACTCACAGCCATACCAAGAATGGGGGAGGGTTTCCTTTTAGCAAAAAGATATGTCATTTTGACCTATTTTCTGTAAAAGGACAGCTTCGGGTTCTGCCCTGCTTGTACCTGGAGTTCTGCATTCATTTTTTTGAAATAAATTGGAACCATTCACAGAAAAGGAATCAGAAACCATGAATGATTGCCCAGTCGTTATCATGATTGTTTAGCTGGGCAAGACTTTGGGGGTAGTAATAGCCATCAACCGCTTGAACAATCTGTCTTATGTCAGAGGGACTAGAATTATTTTGTAAGGTTAAGTGGGCTAGAGATAGGGTCTGTGGGTCCAAGTTACAGCGAAACAAATTACTCTGAAGGACGCGACTGCTAACAGTTTGTATTCAAGGTGAGTTAGCCTGCCTCAGGAGGTAATGAGCCCCCCAGGCTATGGCAGTGTTTGAAAGGATCAGACAGCATTAATGAGGATGTTATAGAGGAGAATTCAACCATCAAATGGTTGATTATCCTGGATTACCTTATAAGAATCTTTTCAAGTCTAAGATTCCATGAATATGGTAATGGTAAAGATAAATTTAGTTAAGCACTGATTCTTTACTGCATTTTTATTGCCAGAAGCTAAATTGAAATAATATTATTTTTAGATATTTTAAAAGTTCAAGATAACTGTTTTTTGTGTTTTTTTGAAAGAAGTTTAGTGCCATTTGAGACTGACGAAGCATGTGGAATTCTGACCTTTAGGAGAAAGAAATTATGTCTCCGTATAGTTACATTTACTCTATTGAGACTAAATACTGAAATGGAAAATAATATAAAACATTCTTTTTTTCCCCTAAATCCCAAAATGTTAAGTAAAAATACGCCTGATTTTGCAATGTAGTAATCCTCAGCTTTATAAACATGTGATGTAGTAACTTGGTTTCAGAATTAACTAAAAGCAGGTTAAATGGCTGCTGCATTTTGTGTATGTACACTGTTACATAGAGCAGATGCTAGGAGAAGTGGAAGTAATGTGAACGTGAAACATGAAATAACAGTGTTTATACATTACTAATTTGGGTTGTCAGTGTGCTATTTACTCTCTAGCTCTGACTTTTTAAAGACTAGTTCTCTACAATTTTATGATATCACTCTTTATTGAAAAAGTATTAAGTATCGTTGGACCAGAAGCTGGAGATGAGAAGATGAATAAAACAAAATCTGTGTGCTTGAGAGGTTTATAATTAGTGGGGAAGATAGAAAGGTGAGTAGAATTTAAAGGTGCTGTAACAAAGGTAGATTCACGGTTCTGTGTATTGTAAGAATTCAGAGTAAGGGATCTAACCAATCCAGAAGAAAGGGACTGGGAGAATGTCATGAAAAATGTGCCACTTTCAGTGCCTTGGAGAATGAAAGAAGTGGGACTGGGTACAGATGGAGGGACAGCTTGAGCAGTGGGTGGGGGTTTGAGGCACTGTGTGTATTATCTCTGTTGGTGTCGCTAATACATGTGTATTGTTAAAAGTACAAAACTGGATTCTGGAATCATGGCATATGAAACTTGGGATCTAGTCTTCGTGTGTTCTGTTTGCCCTTCTAATTGTTTTCACTTTATTTTTAAGCAATGGGCAGTCATTGAAGTGTTATGAATAGAAAATTACAGAAATTTGTTTTACATTTCAGAGTAATCATTTGGGAGATATTTTAATTTTATTTTTAAAAAGATTTATTTATTTATGCATACCAACTGGGGTTCAGGCCAGTGGTGCAGGGGCGGTGAGAGGATTCACCAGAGGTTGAGTGGGGAGCAGAACAGGCAGATCCACAAAGTACACTGCTGAGGGGAGCATTAGGCAAGACTGGAGAGGTCTGCTACTCCTTGTGCGCCAGCTTCCAGCCTGGGGATGGAACTCCTGCTGGATCTATTGTGACTAGCTTCCTGGTGCTGTGCTTCCACCCTTTGCTCTACCAGGGAGGGTCCATAGGTGGGAGGATAGATATTTTTCAAAAAGCTTATTGTATATAATTTATGAATTTGTCTTGTTTTCCTAATTGTCATTTCTTGAAGCACTATGTATCGTAACTTACACTGTTTCACACATATTGATCATTCAGTAAACATTTTCATTCATTTTAACTTCATTTGATTTATTTATAAGAAAAATCAATTCAGTAAAAAATCCATCAGCAAAGTTCAGTACAATAAATAACTTGAGGCTGTTGTAAAAGTATTAACATTATAACAAATATCAGTATATAAATTCGTTATTTACAAAATACTTAAAATATTCCATTAAATGTGTAAAAAGAAATGGTTGCCTTATATTATTAATTTAAAGGCAGTAAATTGGCCTCCCAGTAAATTGGTGCAAGGGGTTAATAAGCCTTAGCATTATAATGTTATCTGCAGCCACTGCAGCACAAGTTTAGATCCTTTTAGATTCTCCGGAGCTGACCCACATGGCACTGCAGACCTCTCCTGTCTCACCCACTGCTTCCCCTCAGCAGTGTGTTTCAGTACACACCTGTTCTTCTCCCAGTGCTGTTTCTGGTGAACCCTCTCACCACCACCCCCACCCACTGCATCTCTGACCTGTATCCCAGTTCTTGTATGTATAAATAAATAAATCTTTAAAAAAAAAGGCAGTAAATTAGTGTTGTCATATATGAGGTAGATCTTATGTGGGAAAAAAGTTGTTTACAATGAACACTATAATTTTTTATTATATATATTTTGTATATATTTACTATCTATATTCTACATATATGTTCTTCTATAATGTATAAATAAAAGAACACCTAAATTCAAAGTTTTAAGAGCTAGATTATAGAATTGCTAATTATATTTACAAGGAATAAACTTTATATTTGTGTTAATGAAATTATTTTTTATTACTTAATATTTTTCTTTTAAATTTAGTTTTTGATGATGAAGAAGAAAGCAAATTGACTTATACAGAAATTCATCAGGAATACAAAGAACTAGTGAGTATATTTGTTTCCTTTAATTTTTAAAGATAATTAGAATACTACTTTGGTTTTCATAAATTAAAAAGTATTTTTTTCCTTTAAAATTCTTTAATTTTACAGAAAAATACCCTCATGTACAAAAATGAAAAATAAAAAAATCTACCCTGACGTTTGACTAGTTGCATCAGAGTCTTAAGATTTTTCTGAGCAAGTCATGAATTCTTATCTCTTCAACTCTAGAATCCAAAGAATGGTTTATTACAGCTTTTTAAAAAAGATATTGTATCTAATCTTTAAACTTATTCTTGGTCTCCTAATACATCCGGGAAGGTATTTATTATAATTCAGTCATGGTTGTTTTGTGATTTTTTAAAAATACCTCTGGGTAGAAGAGTTGTAGCATATTAATAACTGCTTTCTAGGCCTTCCCTGGAGGCACAGAGGTTAAAGTCTCAGCCTAGTTCTTGTATGCACAATTAAAAAAAACTAAATCTTTATAAAATCAATAACTGACTTCTAGAAGAGGAAATAAAATAGCATCAATTCTCTGTAAAAATTTTAATTTTATATTAGTTTTTTCAGTGGAAAACAATGTCACGGTTATGCAATATAACTTTATGTAGGTTAATGATTGCAAAAAAGTATTGTAATTATACTTTTCTAAACTTAATACTAAATATAAAAACTGTCATTTGGAGTTTTCTATTTAAATTATAAAAATTACACTTTCTCTTTTTAGGTTGAAAAGCTTTTAGAAAGTTATCTCAAAGAAATTGGAATTAATGAAGATCAGTTTCAAGAAGCATGTACTTCTCCTCTTGCAAAATCCCGCACTTCACAGGTTTTTGCTTTTGTGTTATTCTGTTAACATGCAGTTTTAACAACAATGTCTAGATTTTCATTTAAATTGGCTGTTTTATGGTCAACATGTAATATACTAGACATTGTAATAGTGATAATTTATCCATATGGGCTCCTATTTTACAACCACCTTGGGAATGATTATTTGTAGCACTTATGAACTGGTAGTTGGAAAGCAGCCTTGTAAACTCAGATCTAGAAAAGATCATATGGTTTAGCCAAACTACTGTTTTATTTTTTATGGCTGCCTGACAATTTTATAGTTATCTTTTTTTTTTTAATATACAAGCTGACATACAGTCCACAGTTCAGGGAGCATCCTTCTCTTGGTGGTACTTTTATTTTCTTTTTACTTCTGCAATGCTGGGGTGAAATAGGTGTTTTTTTACTTAGCTTACTTAGTTTACTTACGAGTTTTCTGCCTTCTGGGCTCTTATGGGACTAAGGTCAGGCTTAACTTGGTTTGTCTGTAGGATCTGGGGAAGAAGTCATTCCCATAATCATTCATATTTTTGACCGAATCCTGTTTCTTTTGGTTCTATGTCTGTGCTTCTATTTCATTGTTGTCAGCCTCAACCATTGTCTTTTCTTTGAGGCCACCTGCGTTGACAAGTACCCTCAACCTGTGTTCTAAGCTAGCAATATCATGTTCATGTTGAGACTATCTCATGTTCAAAACCTGACTTCCCCTTTCGTTGTCAGCTGGAGAAAATTCTCTGCTTTTAGGTAACTCACTTGATTAGCTTCTTGGAGAAAATATCTGTGGGTCAGTTCCCTTGAATTAGGCAATGAACTGGTGAACAGTAGTTGCTTTCTGGCTGTGCTTAGGGAAGAAGCTTATCAAAACCTTATTCAATCATGCTGTGAATGAAGTCACTATGTTTATAACTAGCTGCTGTTTTAAGGCACTTAATATGCACTCATGTAATTTTCCTCATCCCTCTTAAGAACACAGTATCATTTTACTTCTCTTTAGAAATGAGAACTCTAAAGCAAGGATATTTTTATCAACTAATGAAAATTTCCCAGTTAAGTATAAAGTCAGAATACCAGCCTAAGGTACAGCCTAAGGTACTCACATTGGTAGGAATGTGTTGCTACTATCAGAATAACCTTTTCTTAAAAAGTTGCTTTAGCTTTCCATTTTCTTCCAAGTAAACTAAATTCCTTAACAAGATGACAGTGAGGATTGTGTATATGACCCCCAATTCTTTTTTTGGTTGCCTTCTGCTGTGTTCCCAGTACTTTTTTGTGTGGTACAGTTATTATAGGCCACTGTTCTCCTCAGCGTCCATGTCCATGCACCTACCTTTGTTCGAGCTACTTAATGTGCCGCTACCACCTCTCCACCCCTTGGTTTTCCCTTACCCAGACAAATCCTTATCATAGGCTCAGGCTTTCCTTATCCCTCTATTTAGCAACTACTTTACTTCACTGGACACTTTGACATTTTAGTACTCTGCTTTGAATTACAATTTTTTAGAAGTCTGTGTCTTACTGGATTTTAAGTCCTTTGAAATATTTGTATTCCATAGTAGGTAGTTCTCAATAATTTTTTGTTAAATTATTTTGTTATTGTGGCCTAGAAGAGATTGTTTTGATTATCTTTTAACCCAGCACTTCCTGCTTCTGTTCTCTTTTTTGTGTTATTTCTCATTTAATGATCATCTCTAATTCTAGAAATAGACAAATCCTTACTACAAAAAAAAAAATGGTACTAGTATTCCTACACTAATGTAAACAAAGATCTGATTTTATTTGTTAAGTCTATAAAAGCAAAAGGTTCTTTCCACAATTCATTGATAACTTTTATTCTAAATAAAATAGTCTGTGTTAGTCTACAGGTCTATTAGGCATTATGTTCTTTTCCTTTTTGGTTAAATAAATAGGCTAAAATTGTTAACTAGTATTTAAATTTCTTTTATGACATTGGAGTTTGTTTTCATTTTTCTGCTTTGGTTAGTAGTTGCTAACCTCTTAAGCTACCGTGAATGAATCTGAATTACAGTAAGTAAATATGTTCACAGTATAATGGACATAGTCATCTTTAATCTTTATTATTATTATAACTTTAATTTTTTTGTGATTGAAGATCTTCGAAATTTAAAAATATTTTATAAGCATCTTTTTTATTTCATCATGAAACACCTTTTGACTTATTTGGAATTTTTCAGGTAGTACAGCCTTATTGCATAGAAGGAGGCAAACCTTTGAGATATACAGGCTTCAATTTGAATTCTAGATCTTTCATTTATTGGCAGTAAGACTACAGATAAAAATTATCTTACAGATTTCCTTCTCATTCATGATCATTGTCTAGTTCTGCATTTGTAAAATAAGGATAGTATCATCTTTGAAAGTATTTTTTGTGTGTGAAATTTTAGAGGTAGTATTCATTAAGGCATTTAGTACACTACGTGAATATATAAGGTTGCCTTTTTGATATGTAGGCTGCCTTTTATTTTTTTTGCTGTTGCAGATGTCAGTATTTCATCTTTTTTTTTATTATATATTTTTTACATCATTCTTCATTTTGTTCAATTTATGTATTTGTATCTCAGTTATGGTCCCCGTGGAATTCCACCAGTTCACCCATGTACCATCACCACGGCCCCTTGTGCCCTTCCCACCCCTGGTTTGAGTCTACTTTCCTCTCCTCCCCTGCAGATGGTTTTACTTTTAGGAGGAATGTAAAGAATGCAAATAAGGGATCATGTGCAGAAAAAAAGTGATTATAATAAAGTAAATATCAAAATCAACAGGCAACTATAAGGTTGTCTATAAAAGGAAGCACCTCTTAAATATTGATAGCTATTTTGGTGGTTGATGTGTGCTAATCAGGCCAGAGTTATGGGTTCAATTCCTATATGGGCAAGTTAATTTTATTATCTTCTGTAGCAAATTCTTAGTGCCAGATCCTGAAGAACAACATGATTGAATTGGCACAAGTCTTCACCATTACTGAAAAAATATCTCAAAAAACATTGTTTACTGCTTGACAGTAATAGTTGATCTTTTATGTAAACATCAGAAAGTCATTCTGTTATGTCAGTAGGAGGTATCTAAGGATGAACTAAATAAGCCATCTGTTTGCCCTGGGTATTTTAGGAGGTAATATTTATTTTGTTTTGGTTCACTTGGTTTTTGATATTTTAAACCAGCAGCCAGCTCCTGTTGAAAGATTAACTTGCAAAATGCTTTTTACCTGGCTTGATCATCATCAGACCTAGACCACTAGTCAGGGCATGTTTAAAGTATATTAAAGTCAAAAGGAACAGCAAGGAGTTCATTGAATGAAACATTCTAGTTTAAAAACAGTAAAACCCAGGCCCTCCCTGGTGGCGCAGCGGGTTAAAGCACTGCACTCAGAATCTAAATCCACTTCCGCATGAGTTGATTCCCGCCTGCCCCGGAGGAGTCCACATGGCCAGGCAGACCTCTCCTGACCCGCCCGCTGCTCCCCTCAGCAGTGTAGTTCATAGATCTGCCTGTTCTGCTCCCCATTCTGTCTCTGGTGAAGTCTCTCACTGCCCCTGAGCCTCTGGTCTGTACCCCAGTTCTGTATGCACAAATAAATAAATCTTTAAAAAAAAAAAAAACAGTAAAACCCCAGCTTTTTAAGGCCATGTTTTTCTGTTACATAGATAGTCTCTTTAAAAATGCTCATGAGGCCCTCCCTGGTGATGCAGCAGGTTAAAGCACAGCACTAAGACTAAAGTCACTTCAGCATGAGTTTGATCCCAGCATGCCCTGGAGGTGACCCACATGGTGCAGCAGACCTCTCCTGACCTGCCCGGTGTTCCCCTCAGCAGTGTACTTTGTCAGTCTGCCTGTTCTGCTCCCCACTCTGTCTCTGGTGAATCCTCTCACTGCTCCTGCACCGCTGGCCTGTACACCAGTTCTGTATACATAAGTAAATAAATCTTTTTAAAAAATGCTCATGAGTTAAGGCATCTTTCTAAATAGTTCTGAAAAATAGTATAATATAAATGCTGGGACATTAATTCCTAAATTTTGGTATTTTTTGTTGAGGGTAAAAAAATTCACCACTGATTTCTATGTTTTGCAAAAGCCAGGGACTTCTGTGTATCAAGATACAAACATGTTTTACTTTTCACTTTTCATTTGATCTGCTTTATAAATTTTAAAATTATTACTTTTTGGAATATATTCCTTTTGCCATTGAATATTTTTTGTTTCTATGTTGTGTTGTTCATTTTTATTTGGGGGGGGGGTTTATTCTACTCCCTCATCAGTACCAAACTATCTTGATTACTGTAATTTATAGTAAGGCCTGAAATTGAGTAGGTAGTATTGTTACAGGGCAGGGAGAGAGGGGCAGCACTTAACCCCCAAACCTGTCTTCCCTAAATAGGTTCTGCCACCCACTGCATCAAACATAAGACAAAACATATAAGACTTTAATGAAAAGGAACTTTAGTACACGAGTATACAATATGAAAGATAAAGAATATAACTTATAAATCAGACACCTTAAGTTACCCATCTCCTCGTAGGCAAAAGTCTACCCAAAGGGATTGGTCCAAAGCAAGGCCTGAAAAGCCCACCACAAACAAGACTAAAGCCCCTTCTGGCTGGGACACATAGAAAATGGTCAAAAATGGCCAGACAAGTCTGGGAGGAAAAGAGCAAAATCAAAATCAATATAAACACTGTCATAGTCCACCTCCCCACGGGTCTCTCACCCATATCTGTTTCAATGAGTACAGGGCCAAGAAACAAGCACGGTTTCTTCATCACATGCTTGCTGCTCCATGTGGCTTCCTCAGGTCTCCTTCTGGCTCTCCATCCTGCTTCCTTCTTCCTCAAGATTCCTCTCTTCTCTTCCCTCCCTCCCCCCACTCCCCTCTGCTCAACCCTCCTCCTGGGTGGGGCAGGGAACCTGGAACTTCCCTTTTTCCTGGGGACCACCCTATTATAGAATCAATCCTTGTAAATTCTCAATATTATGTGGCTCTT